GGCAATAACATGTGGAGATGAAAAGTAAAGGCCTTAGACCCAGATGGACCTGTGTTTGTGACCCAGTCACATCCCTTTCTCATTGTATGGCCTTGGGAAAATTGCTTTAGGTAGGTAAGCTTCACTTTTTTCAACTGTAGAATGGAATAATGCAATGAGGATAATATTGGTACCTACTTAATTGGCCTATTGTGAAGAAAAGCAGAAATAATGTGAGTGAAGGGCTCAACCCTTGTGCTTGTTATTACTTTTCTTTCTGTCGGTGGGTACACATGTTTGTTCATACAGGTCTTATTGTCTATTGCCCAGTTAGTGTCCAAAGCGTTTTTCAACTTGATTTTTCACCAGCTCTTGAAATGTCATTCATCTGTATCTCAACTCCTGTTTTTTTCCTCCTTCATGATAGAATCCATGGAATGAAGCATCCAGCCCTGTGGTAGGTGATAAGGGGAAACAAGGAAGTATGGGTCATGAATCTTGGCTTTGAAAAAAAAGCCTGTTTCTTAGTTTGGAATATAATTCCATCATAAGCCATGTTGAATACAATGTAGGACAAGGGTCATCTTAAGGCAACCTGTGTCACGTTTCTATCTGGATCACACCTGTTAGGCTAGGGCCAGCTGGGTAAGGCGGCTATGCAAGGAAGTGGCAGATGGGCTGGAGGAGGGTGCCGGAGGCCTGGTCAACTGGGAGGCCGTTGCCCAAACCAATCTGTGAGGGGATGTCATGGTCAGGGACTCTACTACCAGTCAAACCAACTCACCACCGAGAGCTTTGTACAAGGGGAGTAGTCAAGGATATTCTCAAAGAGTGGACTGGGAAGGAAAATAACATTCCCAGTGAACAGTAAGAACAGGAGCTTCTCATTATTGAGCATCTGCCCAACGTGGGAGAAAATAAGATCTCTCAAAATAAAAGTCGACAGGCCTCAACTGTGGCTTCCACCTGGGTACTCAGAGCTAGGGAGCTGCTTGTCCCTGGTGTATGGTGAAGGCTCACTCTACAATGACAAGTGGGGCCAGCAGTGTGGAGAGTAGAGCAACAGGATGCAAAGTGGAGATGGGGTTGGACAGCTTTGGCACTGTCCCTGAGTGTGGGGAGGAGAAGTGCCTCCGGCTATCGTTTTATTTGGAGCCAGCCTCAGACATACCAATACTGACACTTGAAGGGCATGATTGGGCTGGCAGCCTCAAAGATAGACTGTACCAGGCAGGAGGCACCTCTCGCTTTGGCCTCCAAACATGTTTTATGGGCTCATGTTGGCTTAGGCACACAAGAGTGAGGTCTGCTGGCCTGGTACAGCCCTGGCCTCAAGCTATGCCGTTGGAAGTCTCTCTACTTGGCTTGACTCTTACTGTTTATACTTTGGAATCTGGCTAAATTGAAAGCCAGGGATCAGGGTTTATATAAATACACAGAAGTTGTTGCTCTTGCCACACACAAGAGCCTATATCAGATTGTCCTCATATCCCAACTGTAAAAGAATTGTGTGGAGGGAGTGTGTGCATTGGCCTTTGTGTCTTCACCACAACAACATAAAAACTAGGATGTCACATTTCATCTCTTAGTGCAATGTAATCCCATAGGCTTGGCTAAAATGCTGAGAGTTACTCTACTAGTTAGCAGCCCGCCCTTCCATGTTGTTCTTATTGTAGCCTGTGGTCTCATTAAGAAAACCTTTTCTGCTCAACCTTTATTAACAGTGAAGGCCTGTGGATTCTGTGTCTCCAAAATAAAAAGGCTATGGGCTACAGTGTCAACATTTTACATTTTGATTTTTTAAATGATTTATTTTTTGTTTATTCCTATTTCTTTCTTAAAAGGATTAGGATGTGTTTACAATGAGAACATTATTATAATATATTATATACAGGGTGTCCCCAAAATATGTATGCACACTTTAACAGCTGATAGCTCAATTTTGAAAGTAAAATGTACTTTAATAAACACTGCCTTTATAATTATTCAAAATGTTTATATACTTTTTGGGGACACCCTATATATTATGTTATATTATATTATATTATATTATATATATATTGGTTCTCTCTTTTGTTTTCTTTGCTTTTTGTTATTTATATTAAAGAAACACTCTTTTTCTATTTTTTCAAGCTTAAAGTTTCTTTGGTAATACTGTTCTGTTTGTTTTTAAAGAATCTGTAATATTTATCTCTTTCTGCAGTTGGGCCAAATATTCTAGTCCAGGAAGTAGCAAACTATGGCTGTGGGACAAATCTGGCCAGCCACCTGGTTTTGTAAATAAAGTTTTATTGCAACACTGCTGTGCTCATTTGTTTATTATTGTCCATGGCTGCCTTTGTGTTATAAGGGTAGAGTTGAATTGCTGTGACAGAAACTGTAGGGCCACAAAGCCAAAAATATTTTACTATGTAGTCCTTTATAGAAAATGTTTACTGACCTCTACTCTAGTTCATAGTCAGTATAATTCTAAAATATTATCTCACCCAAGTGAATTTATCCTGATTGGCACTGTGTGATGGTGTGTAGCAAGATGCATTCTCAAGCCAGCTCCTTCTATGAATGATTAGAACTAAATCCCACAGTCAACTCTGGAAATGGTGTAGAACATGCACCTCAGAGTTATCCTACCAGAGAAATGAGAGAGCTGAGGTATTTTTACACCAACTCTTATCAGTCATTGATTGAAGGCTGCTCCTGCAGGTGACTTTCAAGGCACGTCTGGCCTGCCCACATCTTAAAGCAGCCTTCTTTGGCTATGGGAAAAATCCTCAGGCAAAGAAATGTAGATACTGACAGCTGGAAAGGAATTCTCTAGGAGCCACTAAAGCTTTAAGACCAGAGCGGGTGGGCTGGCAAGAACACTGTGTCACAGACTCGGGCGTTGAAGGGTGAATTTGAAATCCCTTTCGAAATTGTCCTTTAACTTTACCGTAGGATTTAAGTTAAGGAGTAATAGAATCATATTGTGGGCTTTGGCAGGATTTGTTTTCTAATCATCTCATCTCATGTTTGGCTCTTAGATGTGTCTATTTTCAGGTCCTAACCCATCTCCAGAGGGTTCCCTATATCTGCCTCTATGTGTATCCTCAGTATAGGGCCATCTGCCTGCCAGGGCTCCAGCTGCCTCCTCAAAACCAGAGCCATATTCCCACCACTACCAGCAGCACCTCTAGTAGCCCTCTCATCCCACATCCACATTAAATGGCATTCCTGTGCCTTCGTACTATGGATTCTACCAGGAGAGGAGCTGAGACTGAGAAGAGCTGAGAATTCAAGCAATTAATTGACTTGCTCAGTGTTCCAAATAGCCTCTGGAGAAACTGATGCTGTTAATTCCATCAATATTGGCCAACTGGACTTGGTAATGGAAGGTCATAGAGGGCCAGCTAGAGGAAGAGTGAGAGTACAATGAAAGATACAACAAGAACATGGAAGCTGGAGAAAAAGCTTTTTTAAAAATATATATCTTTATTGATTTCAGAGAGGAAGGGAGTGGGAGAGAGAGATAGAAACATCAATGATAGAGAATCATTGAACAGCTGCCTCCTGCACACCCACACTGGGGATGGAGCCCGCAACCTGGGTATGTGCCCTGACAGGGAATCGAACTGTGACCTTCTGGTTCATAGGTCAACGCTCAACCACTGAGCAATGCCAGCCAGGCTCAGACTTTAATTTTCAAAGGTGAATCTGGTCTGTTAGGTCTGAGCTTGCAAACTATCACGCTAGGGGAGAAGTGATCATGATGACTGTTTTTAAGCCAAATGAAGTCAGGCAAGCTGCTTATATGCTGCGATAGCAGAGTGTATTGGTATTACATAGATCTCTTGGTGATGAGGAAATATAAGCATCCCAGACCAATGGAAAGAACTACCACACCAGCAAAGATCCTCACAGTGTTAAAACAGAGCTAGGGACACACTTCTATATCCAAAAAAACACATTTCATGGAAGGGGTTGAAACTGGCAAGGAGATTGGAAGACCTATTGTTTACACAGAAATAGCAGAGGGTTCTAGAATCCTGGAAATATCACCTCTTTGGTTATTGTGCTTAGCATCATCATTGAAATATGTCTGAATCAAGGCATTTTAATCATCAGGGCAGGGCTGGTAGGTACTTTGGGGTTTTGTCAAAAGTGGTCACAAGTTGCATTTCAAAAAGACCTTTTAAAGAACAATCATGGAGAGTATACACAATGTGTAGCATGGAGCCCATCAGGGCAGCCTTGTGTCAGTGGGTTGCCTTTGTCCAGATTTGGTGACTGCTCATGGGTCACTTGGTGGCCAACTGGCTTTTTTTCATGGCCTTTCAGTAGAAAATGGAATCCCATCAAAATGACCTCTGATAATGTCCAGTTCTGGTGCAGAGATGTCCATCATCATGGACCTGGGGGACTTTGATGTCTATAGGAGTTGGAATTCTGAGTTGGCTGGTAGGATCAACGGCATTGAGACTAAAGAGGAAATAGCTCAGGGCCCCTCCAGGTATGACTTTGCTTTCACTGTTGTGAAATAGCATAAAGACTATTGGACTCTAGACCGCTGGCTGAATACTTCTCTCTGTCTTCCCTATGGGATACTTAATAATGGCAAACTTGGCAGTGATGGTGATGAATTCAATCTTAAAAAAAAATAACACACTTTAATCATAAAATTCAGGGGGACACATGAAGATCAAACTGGAGAATCAAATCTTCTAACTGCCAGGTTTCTCTACTTTTAAATTGATTTTTTGGACAAAATCAGAACTGAGCCCATAAAGAAGAGAATTTGAACACTCGGTTACACTATGGGGAAAGCTTGAATTTCTCTTAGAACTGAATGGAGGCATCTGTTTTGTTTAAATTAAGGGTCTGTAAGTACCAGTCAGGGACCAAGTTGACAGCCATTCCTGTAATAAAGTAATAAATCATGGGGATGGTTAAGGAAGCAAGAAACACCACATTCTTCCTTTGCTTAACCAATTAAGCAATAAGCCATCTGGGTCTTTCTGTTAATTACTGTCAAACACAACTTATTCAATTGAATTCAGCCTTTTATTTAATTATATTAATTCATTCCAGCAACTTCAAATACCCACAGTACCAATAATAAAGTTCCTTTAAAAAAATAAAGGTCTTGTTTAATTTTTTTCAATCATTAATACCCTTTACAAGCTAATAATACCCTTTATTAGCTTGGTCTCCACCTCAAGATATTAGAGGAATTCATTTTAAATATAGACAAGCCTGAAAGAAGAAGACGATGGCTGAGATTTCTTCTCTTGATGGGAGGATGGACTTATGTAGATCAGTGCTATCCAATAGAACTGTTTGCAATGATAAAATGGTCTATATCTGTGCTCTCTAAAACAGTTGCCCCTAGCCACATGAGACTATTGAGCACTTGAAATGTGACCAATACAACTGAAGAGCTGAGTTGACATTTTCTTTCATTTTAATGTATTTACAAATAGATAGCCACAGGTGGCTAGTAGCTACTAGCGCAGGTCTAAAGTGCCTTCTGAGGAAGGAGAAACGCAGTGAGTGAATCATTGACTTAAGTAGAAGAAGGAATACATAATTATGATAGGCATTGTTTAGAAACCCTCACTTCCTATCTAGTTTTCCTTATTTGAAACACACTGCATTCTGAAGCAGCCCAAAGGAGACCAGCATCTTTGAGGGGAGGTTTCTAAGCTGAGCATGTGAAGAGGGAACTCTATCTGGAGGAGAAATGGGCATGAATGGTGTCTTCTCAATAGCAGAAACAACCCCACTCATCAACTCGTATGGTCACACTAGGCCGGGTCACAGCAAGAAGAGCCAGTGGCTCTGCTCTACTGGAGGTGTGTTCCTCCCACAGTTGTCAATGTTCAACCTATGGGCATGCTTAGAGGTCCCAGACAGTTCCTACAGGCCCAGAAATGGCTCTATCACCACCACCCCCCATAAACATTAACACCCAACTCTGGCTCCTCTCATAAGAATTTTGGCTCAGACACTGATATTTCCCCTCAGAGAGGTTTGCCTCTTTGCAAAGATTGCTATTTCTGATCCAGTCAATACAAACCCTGTAACAGAGCATCGAGAAAGTTTCTCAAGTGTATGCACTTTTGTTCATGGGAATCCTCAGTCTGAGCTGACCCTTCTAAAGACCAATGACTAAAGAGAAATATATTGCATGGGAATCTGGTTGTGGTTCACCAAATTGGGAAAGGGCTAGGGCAGGGTGAATGGAGGTAGAAAGTTCTGAGAAAATTCTCATTAACATGAAAATGTCCTATCCCAGGTTTGCTGCTTTTCAGCTGCTAGGCTGAGCTGGAGGTCTGGTTCAAAGCTCTCTTCTATCTTCTCTCCAATCCTGCTCTTCTCTCCGTAGCTTCCCTTCCTTCTTCTGAGCTAGGGCTCAACCAGGAAACATGAAATTTCCCTGTCCTAATAGGCTTAATCCAGAGTTTTTTGTATGCCAGGCCATATGCTCTCTTTACACTTTAATTTCCATAGTTGGTTACACAGACAATCCAAGGTAAGGCCATTTGAAATAAATTGATCAATTGGATTTATGCATCCTGGAAGTGCTAGCAGAGAATGTCCAGGCCTCTCTTCTTAGAGATAAAAGCAATTATTACATACATGCCCATTGAAGAAAATGAAGAATCTTCTGTACTATGTAATGATCATCTACCAGTGATGAAGACAATGTGTGTGTGTGTGTGTGTATTTTGTTTTCTTTTTCAAAAATAGCCAGCAGTCAATGGCATAGGTGCGAGAAGGGAAAGACTTTCTACACTCATTCATGGAGCCTTCTTCTCTGCTATCACAAGGAGTACAAACACAGAGGATGTGCTTCATGGGATACACATGCTTTCTTAGCTCTCTTGTCACTGAACTGTGAGGACCAATCTTCTCTTTTCCTTCAGACACTGGCATTCATCGTTCATCCACAGCGTGGACATTGTCAAATTGCCACAGCTGGCTGGCTTTTCCATCACACTGACGCAAGTACAAATCCTTATTGTTTTCCTGCACCACAGCTTCCATGCATTTCCCAGAAAGAATGTGAACAATCATTCCATTCTGAAAAGTGAGAAGGGGAAAAAAAGAAAAACCAGTCAGTCCCCCCCTCCGTCAGTCAGCAAAGAAGGAAATTTCTAAGTTTTATACTAATCATCTATAATAATAAAAGTATAATATGCTAATTAGACCAGACGTCCTTCTGGCTGCGAGGGAAGCCTGGGTCCGGGTCCTGGGTGCCAGAGGGAAGCCGGTGCTGGCGGCGGGGAGGTGGGCGGGGGGAGGAAGGCCTACTCTTACAGGAATTTCGTGCATTGGGCCTCTAGTTAAGAGAATAATAGAGGTATTGCAAACTGGCCTGGTGAGGAATTATAGTATTTTGGTGAAAATGTAGTACAGTTCAAGTAGTTCTGAAATGTAGATATTATTCAGAGCCTTGGGGCCTTTAATTTAGTTATCTTTACTGTGGTTGGGTAATTATACCATATCTTAGAGTGTTCTGGTTAGTGGAATGCTCAGTGTAAAAAGTATGTTCAGTCTTTATGTTGTATTGGTGATATTCATTGTTATCAGTGACTTGTAAATTTCTACTTTCAAAATGATTTAATTTAATCTGTCCTATTAATCCTGCAATTTAGTACTGCTGCCACCAGGTTGCAGTAGAGAGTAAGGCTTTAAGGATATACTGAAGGCCTAAGTCAGCCGTATTTTAAAGACTATCTCAAATCTACCAAATTTAATACTGAATCTAGCTATGCCCTTCACAAGGAAAAATCAATGTCTTTATGAAAACTTAAACATCCTTAACCAGCAATGCTAATAATGTCCATTTATTTATTATTTATGTAGTTTTTAGATATAATTCACATACCATAATATTCATTCTTTTAAAGTATACAACTTGGTGGCTTTTAGTAAATTCACAGAGTATATGCAACCATCACCACTATCTAATTCCAGAGCATTTTCATCACTGTGAAAAGAACTGCTATTCATTAGCATTCTTTTCCAATTCCTCCTTCCTTCCAGCCACTAGAAATCACTAATATGCTTTCTCTATTTATGGACTTGCCTATTCTGGACATTTCCTGTAAATGCAACCACGTAATATGTGGCCTTTAGTGACTGGCTTCTTTCACTTTGCGTAATATTTTCAAGGTTCATTCTAAACAGCTTATTGTGCGTTCAGCCTACGTTTCCAACATATGATATTCTTCTTCAAGAATACTGATGCATAGAGTTCTGCTTATTTCACCCCCTTTGTTCCCAAGAAGAAGTTGAAGGAAATAAAGAGGATGTGTGTATTTATTTCCATGTTTGTATATTTATACCCTAACTTGTTCCAAAAAAGATGTGAGGTGGAGAAAAAGCTGTGTGTGAATACTTCGTGTTGATACTGTCACCTTCCTGTCCTAATTCTGTATGGGGGACCCATGCACTCCCCCTCAGTACTTACATTTTATTTATTTCCTCTTTTTTTTTGAAGCATAACTTCTGAAAAGGATCTAGAACTTCTCTTTAATCAAAGTCTTAATAAAATGATGACATGCCCACCATGGAATTTGAAAAGGAAGAAAGTGATGCCTATATCGATATCTATGTTGGCGGTGGACGAGGGGAGAGCCTTTCCATTCTAAAAGCCCCCTCACAAGGTGGTGGACTGCTGCTGTCATGCACTCCATGGTCCTACTTGTGAGCTGAGCTAATAAACTTCAAAAGGGGGCTCTCTCCACTCTCTGCCACAACGAGGTCAGAGCTGTACAGAAACATGGCAAATTAGTACATTTCAAGTACATACCCAACATTTCTGCAAAGTTGGCTTTACCTCCCCGGGGCCTTCGTGCCAAGCATTTAATTTAAGCAATGGAGGCACAGGTCTGAATGGTAATACTTGGCCTCTTGGAAGAGCTTGGGACGTAATGCTGACCTCCGGCACCGCCAAGCTCTTTCTGAATGGATTACTTACCTCCTGGAAGTCCCAGTGCTGCTGGTGGATGGCAGGGCCTTCCACGGTGCAGTTCTGAAGAATCACCTGCTCTCGCCTGACATCGAAGCACAGGTGCTGTGGGCTTCCAAAGTGGATCTCCTTCCTGCCGGTGTGCTCCAGGTGCTGGGAGAGAGGGAGCAGGTGTTAGCACAGCCAGCAGGACATGTTCTTTCTCCAAAGCTGGAGGTGAGGGAAGCAGAGCTCACAATAGAGCTGAGGTCTAGGGGCAATCTTCAGGCATTGGGGAGGGAGGTGTGTGGAGTCATCAGTCTCACTATCTGAACCAATCTTTGGGTTAGGGGTTGATCCTGCCCCCTGTACGGCAACCACAAGATGTAACCTAAAAAGATCAAGAACCACAACCAGGGAGTAGACAAGTCACTAGGCCAGTGGTTCTCAACCTTGGATTTTAACCAGGTGCCACCTGAATTTCTCTGTGGATTTCAAAAAGCCTGACCTGTGATGGGCTATATATATATACCCATGAGCAACACCCCTAGTTCAAGGCCGGGCCTCTCTCTCTGGGTAGCATGCCGGCCAGTCATGCTCAGCATTTCTCTTTGGATGTCTGTTGGGCCATAACCTTTTGTTGTCTCAGGGCAGCCCTACTCCTCTTGGGTTCTGAGGACTCCAGCCACACCGCAGAGTGGGGCCTCGGGCAATCTATGGAGTTGGTCTTCAGTGCTGTCTCTTGTCCTTCCCCACACACATCTTCTAAGCCTCTATTCCAGGGAGAGGCTCCTGCCAGCCCTGGCACCCCAGGAGAGCTGATGTGCTGCCTCCCGCCTCTCCCCAGGGGCATTTGTACTCTCTGCTTCCTTCTCGCTGTGCAAGCCTCCTCCCTGTGGCAGGAATTTCACAAACCAAATTGCTCCGAGCATGGGAAATGTTCTGAATGAGGCCAGTGCTCTTGCAAGCCAATGACTCCATCTGTTCTGTGAGTAAGTCTTCCTCTGGCAAGAGGAGCATCTGGTTACAGAGGACATGAGGCCTGTCTGCTCCAAATCCAGCCCTCCCTCCCCTACACACACACACACACACACACACACACACACACACACACACACCCCAGGCTCCCGTGGTGCCCTAAACATATCAGCTCTCACAGATCCCCATGAAATACCGGGAAGACACAGCACATCTCCTCTGGGCAGGATTCAGCATCAGAGAACTTGAGACCTAAGACTACGAGTCATGAGTCACGGGTCTGAGGCACCCCACTGCAACACTTGTCAGTGTTGCTGAGCCTACAGCCCCACTCGGGTGACCCACTTTCCCCACTTCAGGTGCTAGTTGGCTAATGATCTCATCGTGCCCTGGTGGAAATTTGCCTGCGTATAGCTTTGCTTTGACCTCTGATTATAGTTTTTAATTTTAATAGGGAGCTTTTCCATAAATGCTGGATTTCAAGTGTCTTTGAGAATGTTGGATGACCTAATAATACTGGACCCAGTTTCAGACAAAACAGAACCTTTTATTGAGGTGGGGCAGGTGCAGCTGTCCTTTCATGTGGGCATGTGCCCCTCGTCACAACAGCCTCTACCCAGCTCAAGGTACTCATGTCTTTACCTTCCTGAACCCTGGATGGCCACCGTCTGAGCCTCAGTTTCCTCATCTGTCAGATAAAAGCACTGGTTCAACAGCCTCTCCATTTCCCTTGAGCTCAGATTCTTGCATTCTCTGATGATGGTCCATGTCTCTGTTTGCAGCTAGGGGTGGGGTAGGCAGGGCTGGGCTGGGTCATCACAGTGGGGGACTGAGAGCCATCAAGGGATATAGACCACTGAAAGGAGATGCCCCAAAGAGAAGTGAGGGGCTCCTGGGAAAGACCACTTACAAGTCTTCCCTGACCACTACCCTGAGAACTCTGACCACCCACCTGTTGCCGCCGGCTGTCACTGCAAGGAGCCAGCATCATGGCACAGCCCAGGAGGTCCCCTTCTGCCTGGCAGTCTGCACAGAAGCCAAGTCCGGTGTTGTGGAGCTGAAAGTGGACATCCATACAAAAGTGAATCCTGCCCTCCATGCAAGACACCCTCTGTCAGACGCCATTCCTTTCCTTCACTCTCTGGAGTGTAGCTCAAGGTGCCATGTTCAGGCCACAAGCTGAAGGCACTGATCCTAAGGGACAGGCCTCCTGAAGGAGGCAGGCGGCACCTGTCCTGGTGAGGGGCTCTGGGATGGGTTATGGGGCAATCCAGTCACCTCCCTCAGGGCAGGCATGGGAGCCTCTGAGGCCCTGCCGAGCTTGGGCTGGTTGGCCAGGGTCATGAAGACCATCGGAACATCCACGTCCTGTCTTGGGAAGCAGCCCACCCCTCCGCTTCCTCCTCATCTTCCCTGGGTCACGCCTTGCCTTTCCAGAGAACCTGGGCCTGCGCTCGGATGGGTACAGCTCAGGGTAGATATTGTCCAGAAACCAGTGGAACGTTCGACAACCCAGTCTCCTCTGCAGCTGCAGGCGTTCTGTGCAGTCTGGCTTCTCAGCCTGGGGGAGGAGAAACACATGGCAGTGAGATAGAGAAATCTTGTTGTACATCAGAACTTACATGGTGGAGGAGGGATAGACGTGGCTGAAGCTGGAGGATTGGGACAGAATGAGGAGACCAAGATCACAGTTCTCCGGGGCTGCAGACAGGGGAGAGGGTCATGTGTTAGAAGAGGGTTTGGACAGGATAGAGTAGGCTGGATCTTCCTTAGAGACATCTGTGGAACCAGCAACATGGTAGGTGATGTCACTCCCTTCCCACAAGCCCTCACATCTCAGTCTACAAAGACAACGAGATCCATGCTTGATGACCTTTCTTAGGCAGCTGGCAAAATGTGAGGGGGCTTTGAACCTTAAGTTGGTGTGGAACAACATCATGATGGGCCTCGTGGAGGCAGAGCCTGACCCAAAGGCGACTGAGGTGAACTAAGCTGGAATTCATGCAGTGAGGGTGGGGACAAAGGGAATTTACCTTTCTTCCCCTCTAGATGCCCAATTTCCTCCATTAACAAATCATTTCCTTGGGCTACACTATCTTCCTTTTCTGAGATTCTCCTTTACAATACAGTTGTCCTAGGATGGATATCAAGGTAAGTCCTTAAGATTTTAGTATAAATTAGTGTTTTGGGCTATATTGATAAGATACAAAGAACCCTACCCAGAATTTTAGTACTAAATCCTGGATATTTTTAGGGAAGAGAGAAGTGCTAAGGAGAGAGTCAAAAGACCAAAAACAAACAGAGAGAGAGAATTATTTCTTGGGGTGAGGAGAAGAAAAGAGAGGGAGCTGAAATAGGAAGTCTGTGTCAGAGTTCTAACTTGATGGCCTCTAGCCTGGAAATTAGACTTTGATCTAATTGGCTATGTGAAGGGAATTTAGTTTGCTTTTACTCTTTCCCTCTCTTAGTCCTCAGATATAAATGTTGGGAAGAGTAGGATCTGAGTCTGCCATACAGAAATGCTCTCTATATGCCTCTCAAAGTGTGACCCCTGAGCACCTGGTTCAGAAATGCCCAAGGAACTTGTTTAAAATGCACGTTCCTGGGCCCTGCCCCACAGCCTATGATTCTGTAGGTCAGGGCATTTAATCGGCATTCCACCATTTATCCACTTTGAGAACAACTTCTCTAAGTCAGGATTTTCTTGTTTATTCAGCGTATTTACCCACCATTAAACCAAAGAGAACTGTCACTTTTTTCCTGTCAGGAAATACTGTAGGTTTTTTGATAGTTTCTTGGCATTCTTAGTGTCCATTTGAGTCCTCCCCAGCTCTTCTCCAGGGCTGGACTTTGCTAGTAAAGCAAAAACATTCCTTCATAAGAGTTCCATCACCTTCATCTTTCTTGGTGGTGAAACACACTGGCAAATCTACCCAAATCAAATGCGGATGCGTGCTGACAGAAAACTTTCCCCTGTACACCATGTCTTACAGAGGAGAAAACCAGAGAATGTCAGCTCCTTCAGCACCTTCAACTATACTTCCCTTTGCCATCTTGTGCCCATGATTTCCTGTGCATGTGGCTGGCCCCTAGCAGGCCCCTTATGCCCCACGTTCTTAGAGTGGAATGCAGAGGTAGGTCTTTTGAAACCCTGGCCTTGTCTTTGGGTGCATGGGATTTCTGTATCTCAAAATTCAAGGGAGGGTTTTGGGAGTGGGGAGGAGGGAGGCAGGAAAGGGGCTGGAAGGATAGAAATCATTAGAGCAAAATTAGTTTTTAGCTATTTAAAGTAAATAAATGCATGCTATCAAACACCTTCAGGGAGGCAGTGATATTGAAATCTTGATATCAAAGTAAGCAATAGGACACTTCTAGAACATGAATTAATAGAAATTAATTTTTTTAATGTCAGAAAAAAGTTCTCCTAACTTACCAGTAGGAGGTGTCGTTCCTCTTATGACAGTCATCAAAGGAACAGTGATCAGAGAATGTACCACTCTTAGCAGTGTGGGCTGATGAGGGACTTGGGGGAGCTGTGACAGCACCTTTATGGGTCCTGAAAAATCTTACCTTTGGAGCCCCCACTCCCAGCACAGGAAACATTAATATGAACCCCTGTCCCACATGAAATAGCATTTGTGTCACTCCATAAGAATTAAGCTGAGTAGCAGTTGACCAGTTGAAGAGACAATGTTTGTGGACTTCAATTCAATGTTTAATTTTTTCTCCCCTGTGGTTGTTTTGGATCTTTTGTGTCTATTTTTACAGCCTTTAGCACTTTGCCCAGCATAAAAAGGCCCTCTGAGACCTGTTCCATCCCTTACTCTCTTCCCAATTTCTCCTCTGGGCCCACGATGAAGGACCACAACCCATAGATGTCAGCCCACAGACACCAGGGGGTTCCAGGCCAAGACCAGTGGTAAAGCCCCAAGGAAATGCTGAGAGGGACAGAGGACAGCCGCACCAGGTAGAAGAGCCGTTTGAGAGGGACAACTTGGGGGAAGCACAAGCCAGAGCTTCTATTTTCCCTCTAGACAGGAGGAAGAGACGCTCCCTGGCCCAGCCTCCGGCTGGTGGCCCTATGGTAGGCACAGAAGCCCCTGCGGGGCTCTCCTTACCTTGCTCAGGGCGAAGGCCTCTGGGCTGTGCCTGTAGAAGGTTTCTTTGAATGAGTCCAGCCAGGTCTCAGCAATGCGAACCTTGTTCAGCAGGGTGGCCTCCTGGTCAGGTGGGGAGTTAGCCTCCTGATTTTGGTAGATGTGCCCCACCCGAGAGCAGGGAAGGATTTCAACCGAGCCACCGCAAAGCCAGGCCTGCCACGAAAGGACAAAAGACACACCTCTGCACTCCACTCCAAGAACGTGGGGCATAGGGGCCTGCTAGGGGCCAGCCACATGCACAGGAAATCATGGGCACAAGATGGCAAAGGTAAGTATAGTTGGCAGGGTGCAGCAGCGTTTCCAGGTGGAGTCCCGGGAAGTGACAAAATAGGAAGAATGGGCACAGTTGTCCTGGGATGGAACTGGTGGGGTGAGGGTGCCACACCCATGCAACTAGTTGAATGCTCTCCCTTGAAACACACACATAGACTTGGCACTCATGGGTTAGCACTCTATTCTATCTATCTATCTATCTATCTATCTATCTATCTATCTATCTATCTATCTATATTAGTGGCCCAGTGCACAGATTTGTGCACATTGAAAGGAAATTAAGTAACCTGAGAACCGCTGCTGCCAAGTCACCAAAGCTTGGCAGTAAACCAGATTTGGGGCCGACAGTGCCCCAGCAACAACAGAACCCACTGCAAAGGTGGAATCATGCAGCCCCCAAGGAATCAGGCTCCCTCCTCTCAGGTTCCGGGTTGCGTCACCCAAGAACCGCTGCTGCCAAGTCACCACAGCTCTGCACCTCCTGCATTGAGCGTCTGCCCCCTGGTGGTCAGTGCATGTCATAGGTACTGGCCGGTTGGATGGTCTGGTGGCTGGACAGTCACTCAGCCTTTTATATATAGAGATATATTTTTTTATTGACTTCAGAAAGGAAGGGAGAGTGAGAGAGAGATAGAAACGTCAATGATGAGAGAATCATCGATCGGCTGCCTTCTGCATGCCCCCCAGCAGGGATGGAGCCTGCAACCTGGGCATATGCTCTTGACCGGAATCAAACCTGGGACCCTTTAGTCCGCAGGCCCACGCTCTATCCATTGAGCCAAACCGGCTAGGGCAGCACCCTGTTCTCCAAAGGTTGCTTCCTCAGGGAAAAGGGGGTCCCTAGTGGCTCGTGAAGTCTCCTGCTGCAAAGGCAAGGGAAACTATTGTGTGGCGATCAAAGCAAGCTTTCCTTAAACGTCTCTCCTACTTCAGGAAGTCCCCTCTCCCTGCCCCTCCGCTGACTCTCACATCTACTCCCAAATGCCTAGAATTCATTTGACAGGAAGCCTGCATTGCACACTTGGGAATAAAGGTGAAAATGAAAACATTCCTAGCAGAGGCAGCATATGAACTGAAACATACCGAGGCTGGGGTTCCCAGACTGTGTGCCCAGGTACCCCAGGATACCCCAGCAAACTCAAAGGGCCCCTTCGTATAGTTTAAATGTTTGAGAGAAACATAGTGACATCTGTTGGATGTCCCACAAACTACAAGCTCGAGGTAATTCATGGTTTCAGCATTCTATCGCTGTACCTTTGATGGAGAATATCTTTACTGGATTGGGTTTTCAGAAGTTGCTTTGATGAAAAAACAAATATCATGCTAACATCCATGTGGAACAGGGAATGAGGGTGGTGGTGTCTGGTCTGATGCCACGGTTAGGGAAGTGTGCAGTGTCCAGCGGGTGCTAAGTTAGAACAGATACTTACTAAGTTGTTTGGACCAAACTACTCAATATACAGAATGCTTGGGGTTTGCTCTGGTCTGTGACTGCTGTGAAAATCACGGAGATGCTAAGGGTGCTGTGAACGGACAATGTAGGGGGATGTCTGCACTAAGGTGTAGATAACTGATAACGTGGGCAGGTTTGACAGTCAAGTTCATGGGGGAGGCTGGGGGCAAAATCAAGGTAGAGCATGAAAGATGGGGAAGGGGAAGACACGGGTGGCTTGATGCACCACATTAAATGACTATCATTTCTCTTTAGCCTATCCCCAATCAGTGGCATTTCTATTGACTGCCTCCAACCTCTGACCAGTCATGGTTCCTGGGTCCGCCCTTGGAGCAGGGCATACCTTGAGAGACAGTTCGAGGTTTCCACCACCCTGCAGTGACATGAGAGGGTCATACGCTCCAGTGTTTTGGAAGTAATGTCTGTCCACGGCCACGACCCCGCCGGGCACCACAGGGCTCCTGGAGGGAGAAGACAGGAACAGACCACATCAGGGAGGCTTGCTGGGCTCCAGGGGCTGAGGGAGTTCATGCTTTTAATGGCAAGACTGGAACAAAACAACCATGTCAGAAACCCCAGTATTTTATGAAAAAAGAGCTGTGGTTGCCTGGGCCTTTTACTAGTATACCATCCTCAGGTACTGCTCCTATAGGGCCACACCTGAGGATCCCCCGCCATCTGGCTTGAGGCCCTCTGTTGAGACCTTTGGGAAGAAGGCCCTGGTTAAAATAATATGCCCTAAGGCAGGGAGCACTAGGCCTGGACAAAGGGCAATGGCCAGCTCTGTCCTCCTCTTTCTTCCCTCGACCCCTGCCCTCACCCATTCTGTTTGCTTCATGACCCATGACCATCCACCCCAATTCTAAGATAAATCCACCAGGCACTGTGGAAGTAGGGAGGTCCCGCCCACCCTGGAGGAAATACACATGACATTTAAATGTGTTGAATGTTTAAATGCTAGCTTAAACACCGGAAATTAGAAGCCCAGAGTAAGGGAATTAAGAGAACAATAAAATCTCCCAGAAAAGTAGAAACAGGAAGAGGTGTAGCCAGAGGCTTTTGAATAAGTGTGTCCCTTCATTCAGGAACAATTTTTTTTTTAAATGGGACAAATACTCATGCAGCTAAACTCTGGATATGTCTCAAGATATAAATGACTCAAAGTTCAGATTTTTTTCATAACCAAGAAAATAGCATTACATTAACAAAACTTAGGTTATTAAAAATACTAAGTTATACCAGAATACTGAAAACCAGGATTGTATATTACTTGATACAGTTTCCAACTGTACCACTTAACTATTTGTAAGATCAGGGTTAATTCCTGGAGGAGAAGGGCCCAGCGCTTGTTGTTTGGGGATCTGAGAGAGGCGGGCACCTTGCCTGCTTTCCATGTGGCTGCCCTGGGAGCCCAGCTACCCCTCACCACCCTCTGCCCCAGGAGACAGGGTCCAAGCAGCAGCATGGGGCACCGGCAGTGGTGGGTGCAGCTCCCTGAAAGCATGGGCTGTGGCATGGTGGCCAGGAGTGGATGAGGGATTTCAGCAGACACTGTGGGGAGGGTACAGGCTGCAAGGGGCCAGGCATGCCAACCCCACCCCAGAGGCCATGACCAGGGAAGGTGCATTGTGGTGAACACCCATGCAGGACAGCTTGAGCCGAGATGGGGCACTCCCTCCCCACAGAAGCCTGGGGCTCAAATCAACTCTAGGGAGACAGCGAGAGGTGGTGGTTGCACAATACTGTGAATGCACTAAATGCTACTGAATTGTTCACTTTTTAAAAATTAATTTTATGCTATATGAATTTCAGCTCAATGAATTATTTTGTTACAAGGTGGATAGGGAGATATAGCTTGCTTCACCTGGCTCCCTCGGGAGACTTGCTCTCAGAACCCAGTGCAATGAGCTCATGGAGAAAACGGTGAAGAAGTCCCCCCTGAATTCCCCGCTGATGGCCAGCATCAACCTTCAGACAGGTGAACAGCCTTCAGGGGACTCCAGCCCCTCTGTTGAGTCATTTCCAGCCAGTCTAGTCTAGTGAAGTATGGTCCTGCTGAGGCCCCAGACCCTGGTGCAGAGACAACCAACCCTGCTGCTCCCTTTCACAATGTATGACCCACAGAGTCCAAGAGCTTAATAAAATGGTTGTTTTACAGAACTCAGTTTGGGTTAGATTTGTTCTGTACCAGAAGATCTCTAGAACATCTACTTTGTTGTCCAAAAAACAAATACTTGAGAAGCAACCCATAAAATCAGATATATTTTGATACTTATGGTGCCTTAGCATTCACCTGTCTGAATTCTTCTTTTTTACTGAGAAAGGACCTGAAGCCAGGGAAATTCCAGTGTTACCTGGTGAGGCAGAGCTCAGTTAAGATCCCAGCTGAGGCTCTGCCAGGGTCTCACACTGGGATTTATTGAAGGTGTCTGGAAGACCTTCGCCAACTCCATCAACATGACAATAATGACACAGCTGAGTGCCTGGCATTCTCTGAATGCTTTTTATATATTAAATCATTTAATCTTTTTTATATGCATTTTTTATTTTCTTTTTCAAGGTGAAAGGATTAAGAAGTATATTAACTCATTCAATCTTAACAACAACCCTATAAGGTTTATAATCATCACTGATGGATTATTATTTTTTCTTTTTCTTTTTTTTTTATCACTGGTGGATTATTGATGCAGGTTCCCTCTGGGAAGGTGAGGATAGGTAACTTGCTTTTATCTTGAACTTGCTCAATCAGTCTTTTATCCCCAATTTACTAATGAGGAAACTGAGGCACAAATTAAGTAATTTGCTGAGAAATTGGTGGACCCTGGATTAGCTCCCAGACAGTCTGGCTGCCAAGTCCCTCCTGAGGAAGCAAAGGAGAAGCAGGCTCCGTGACGGGGCCTCACCTGATGGGGCTGATGGGGGACAGGAGGGCCTTCCTTTCACTGTCCGACAAAGGCTCCCAGTGGAAATCCAGCTTCCAGTCCAGCACACCCCGCTGCAGGTCCTTGGAGGGGTAATACTGGAAAGTCTTCCAGTCAATCACATCTAGGACTGGAGACACCACCCGGCTCCTGGAAAGAATTGTAGGATCAAATAAGGAAGACAAACCATTCCCTTGTAGAGGGATAGAAACATCATCTATACACGCTCTGCCCAACATGGCAGCCACCAGCCACATGTGGCTATTGGGCACCTAAAATATGCAATCGAGATGTGGCAAAAGTATAAAATACACATTGGATTTAGAAAACTTAGTATGAAAAAAAAGTTTAAAATCTCAGTAGTTTTTATATTAAAATGATATGTTAAAATTAATTTCATGATTTTTTTTTAAATTTTGTAATATGATGCCTAGAAACATTTAAATTCCATGTGATTCATGTTACTGGTCAGCAGTGTTCTAGAAAATATGTTTTTCCATAGAAAATTGGGGGCCCATTTCATTAAAGAGCATGCCTGCCCCTTTCTTTCTTTGAAAACCTCTGTGGACAGCACTGAGAATCAGGAAAATGGGGTCCTTGACTCAGCTCGCCACTAATGAGCTGTGTAGCCTTGGGACAGCTGTTGAGCTTCTCTGGGTCTCAGTTTCCTCGTTTGTAAAATGAGAGGTTGAACTGCTTCCCACAGAGGTCTTTCTCCGCTGTAGTGCTCCAGGGCTATGACTCTTGACTTTTAGGCGGTCTTTGATCTCTAAGAATTAGGGGGAAACTATGAACCCCTCCTCAGAAGAATAATCAAGTGCACATATACAAATATTGCACACAGATTTGGAGGGCCTATGGGCCTCTGCTCTAGGGTCTGTTCTTGTTCCTCCCTGTAATCACAATTCTTGACTGGCTTGAGGGCTCAGGATTGCTAGGCCCCAGAAGTGCCCCCGGTGTTAGTGTATGTATATGAGCACGTGGTGCCTACCAGCAAGCCAAGGTCCTGAGTTTAGATTTATTTGTTCATTTACTGATGCTGTTGGTGATTATATTTTATCCCTCCCCCCCCCTCTTATTTGCACAGCCTGGCATGTAACCTCAGATAGGGTGATGTGGGAAATTGGTACAAGTCACAAACTTCACCTGTTTAAAAAAAAAACAGGTGATCACTCAGATGTACCAGGAGCTGCTCTCCTAACCAAGATCACATTTTTTTTTCTGGCCTCTTTTGACTTCTAAAATCTATGCCATGGGATGGGTCAGGCCCCAACTCAGGCATGGCTGGCAGATGCCCTTCTAAGGAACGTGAGGATCCTGGAAGGAGAGATGGAAGCCACACGATTTACACTCCCATCAATTTCCATCTCTGATCTTTCATTTTGGAGACGGCCAAGGCTGGCATAAGCCCTAGTGCTACAGAGAGAGCCAGGGTGGTCCTGGGATTCAATTACGTATCTGCTTTAATCTGAGGCCTTAGTGACTGATGTTGTCGTGAGGAGTCTGAGATTTCGATTTAGAGCCAGGATCCCGATATGCTTTTCCTGCCCTTTGCACATTGTTCCCTCTGGCAGGTGAGGGGAACCTCATCCCGCTTGGTCTCCACTACTCTGGGGCACAGTGCACCGACCTAAGAAAACTGAGAAGCAAGATCAAGGATGAAAGCAGGGCCCCCAGCCCCACCTCTCCAGTCTCCACTTACTGGGGATGAACTGAGCAGACGGAAGGATCTGGCCATTGGCAGAGTATTTTGTGGAATTTCAGAATCAAGAGCCAGGGAACCGTGTGGCTGATTTCTGAAGAATCCCATCAGATCTGTGCCATCTTAGTAATCATAACGGGACAAGAAAGGACATTGCACTTGAGCAACCACACAATCAATTCGTCCCAGACCTCTGAGCGGTGCCCTTTTGACAAAGTGTATGTTACTTTTTATCAGAAAATGAGAACTCCAAAATTTATCAGATGCCTGTTTTTGCTCTGTTTTGCTGGAAGCTTGGAGTCATGTGTAAAGCTCACTACTACTAACTGCATTACTGATTCCCAATGCTATCTTTTCCTGTTAAGTCTCCTTTTCCTTCTATTTTTAACCAGACACGTAGTGATTAATCATGAGCCTCTTTGAGTACATTTTGGATAGAGATGAAGAATAAAATGTCAGGGAAGGAAGTGAAAAACGTTTTTTGTTTTGGTTTTTATTCCCATGGATCACAGCGGCTGCTTCACCAGGGCTGAATTAGGGAGTAACGGCAGTCTAATGACTCAGAAAGGGTGATTGAAAAACAAACAAACAAACCCAAACAGCCTTATATTTAGCTTTGGGTTTCATACCTACAAACGTGTCTGGTGTTCTTGGAATTCATTTAAAGCAAAATAGCAAAGCTACCCTGTTTGACTTGGAAGGAGCTAGAAGTGTCTGCTTACTCCATCATTCTCTCGTTTGCAAATTGAGTTTTAACCTCAGGAAGGTACAAGGTGGGTCCTCTCTTAAGCCTTTGTAAGCTCCAGGAGGTCAAGTGTTTGAATTTCAAGACAAACAGAGGCAGCTGAGCTGTCAGCCAGGGCTGGTTAATTGAAATACCGATCCTGGCCTGGCTTCCTCTCCATGTCCGTCTTCTGTGATCTGACCGTGTTTGGGTCACCCCATCCCTCATTCACAGCCTCCTGTGCACTCGGTTTTCCCTGGGCCCCAGTGTTCGGGTTCAGTTTTCAGCATATGAATGGGGGTGGGGGACACCAACAGTCCCTATCAGGTCAACTAATGAACTACCATCCAGATATTCAAGAGCTAACTGCAACCAACCTTAGCAACCAACCCTATTATTTCATCCCTTTCCATTTTTCCTGGGCCTTGATGTTCTTCCAAGCCTACGATATGTGAAGCCATTTGGGAAGTTCACTCAAATGCTTGGTGTTTGTAAAAAGCTTCTCATACTGAGAAGCAGAGGCTCTGAATTCTCTCTACACAGAGCTCTTGTGGCTCAGTGAGATCCCAGGACTGGTGCCAGCCCCTCAGGACTCTGTCATGCTGGGGGGAGGGGGTGGGAAAATGTGTGGAGTAAGATGGGGCTTGGAGCATAAGACCCACAGAAGGCTGCTCTTCTGCTGGGCCAGGAGGCATCTTGGACCCGCTCCTGCTCCTCAGCATACACTCATACTCATGCACTCACTCACACTTCTGCACTCACACACTCACTCATACACACTCACATACTCATGCACACACTCACACACACTCACCTGGGATTTTTCAGGCTGCCTTCTGTCAGTTAACCCCTCAAAGGGCAGAGGGGTGGGAGGTGGTCTGTACCCTGCCCTGGTTTGCTTCTCCCCACTGAGTAGGCTGAGCCCTGGCTGAACACTCAGTGACCTGAGGACTGGTGTCTCTAAGATAGGGGACCAGCCCAATCTTCACGTGGGAAACTGTGTGGACAGACTTTTGAGCCAGGATCACCCATAAGATGGGAGCGCTTTTTAGCACTTCGCTAGGGCGTGCCTCTTCCTCCTTGGAAATCTTCATTGTTCTCGAGCCCTGACTCTCATTCCTTGGCGTGGGTACCAGAGGGCAGTCTGCACAACGCAGTTGGCAGCTAGAATGACAGCTACTCTAGATTTTCATCCTTGTTCCTTTATGCAGAAGCCAGCTCCCAAGCACCACGTCCTATGACTGCCTTAAAACCCTTGCTCCTAGAGAAACTGTCTGGGGCTGGGTGCAGTTATGAAGGCTGTGCATGCCCACGCCTAAGGAACGCCTCAAATACCATAGGCACTGTGCATTTGCATGTTTACTTCTGAATTTCTGGCAGCTAGCCTTAACGTGTCTTGTTCTAGCAAAAGGAGTATATTATGACACGTTTCTGAGGGATGGGAGTAAAGGGTCATGAGGAAGGGACTCCTTTTTCTAATTCATACCACGTTGCCATATGGCTCTCAGCCTGTTCTGTGGGCAGGGGAACCAGGGCTAGTCGCCAGGCCCTGAATTCTCTGGCCAGGGTTTTGAGAAAGCCATGACTTTGAAAGAGTTGATTTGTGGCTTGTTACACTGTTTGCTCACCATTCCCACCCAACCTTGTTAATGAAAGCTCTTAAAGACCTCTCCTTGCTTTGGAGGCAACAGGTCCTCGCCTAGTGACAGACGCCTCTTGCCTGGAGCCTCAGAGGCAGCGGGGCCCTTTGCTCTCTCAAAGAGCAGCAGCTGTTAGGAGCTGTGCCTGATGGCTTCTCCCATTTTGCTCTGCTTGACAGGAGGTGAGGAAACGCCGGACAAGGCCACTGGGGGAGTAAAGCAGACCCTGAAAGGGGACGCTCTCCCAGGCCACAGCACACAGAGCATCACTACATGCAGTGGGAAGAGATGAGAATGCAGATCCCGTTGGGTGGCTTTTCTTTCAGACCTCACCTGTGAGGGCCTGCAAGCCTAACGCTGGGGCCAGAGAAGACCGAGTGCACAGGAAGCAGCGACGGGGTGTGGGGCGACCCACAGGCGTCAGATCACAGAAGATTGGATGGACATGAGCAGGGAGCCAAGCCAGGATGGGTCAAGAACCAGATGCACACGGGGGAGTGGGGAGATAGAGAGAGAGAGAGAGAGAGAAGAGGAAGAGCCAGGAAATTAGAATTTTATGGACTCACCACCTCTTAACTATGGAAGCCTTCTCAGGAAGCCCCGTTTTATTTATAGCTGAGGAAACAGAGGTATTGCCAAGTTCTTTTCCCTCCGCCTAGGGTGAGAAATCTCCAGCTCTGTGAAAATGGTGCCGATGTGAGAAGCAGACATCATGAGGGACTGGTTTTAATCACTGTTTTAACGCATGTCTCACAACCAGGGGTGGGCACGACTAAATGTTTCTCCCCGATCCACTTCTCCAATTCTTTTTTAAAAATTCATATACAATAAAAAGAGCAGTAGACCGGAGTGTGTCTAACAGCTCCAGAATGTGTGCAGGCCTCACACACCTGCTCGCCTCCCTGAACCCCCACTGCCCTGTGAAATGGAGCCAAAAATATCTGCCTGAGGCATCTGAAAAGAGTCCAGTAGGGTTACTAGTATACATAAGGCTCAATAATATTAACTACTGACTTCCTAAATGTCCAAATAAAGGAGCAGAGGGAACAGCCCGGCTGTCAAGTGGCTATCTCTATGACTCATTTGCCCTCCCTGAACTCAGTACTTTTTAAAAAAATATATTTTTATTGATTTCAAAACATATCTCAATATATTTTTTAAGATATTTTTATTTTTATTGACTTCCCTGTGCTTCTTAATGATGAGAGAGCATCATTGATCGGCTGCCTCCTGCACGCCCCCTGCTGGGGACCCAGTTGCAACTCAGGTATGTGCCCTTGACCGGAATCGAACCAGGGACCCTTCAGTCCGCAGGCCAATGCCTAGACCGTTTCTCCCTCCTCCCACCTCTGGCTCCCCAAACCCCAGTGGGTGATTACCTGTCACCAGCTATTCTGCTGAGGAGGGGCTCCAGCCAGCCCGGGTGGCACTCGCAGTGGGAGTCCATGAAGACCAGCACGTCCCCAGTGGCCCTGGTGGCGCCCAGCATCCGGGCCCCGATGGCACCGAGGCGCTTGCTGCTCCTGAGCAGCCTCACCCGCTCCAGCCTGGCCACATACTCGCTGAGAGCGGTCTTGAGCTGTCCTGGAACCGACAGGGCCGTGGTCAGTACAACATTTCACTACTGGACTGGTGCATTTCTCAGTGGTAAATGTTGTGCTGATTTATTCCTTTGTAATTAATTTTTTGGGTAAGTTTGTTAGCTCCAAGTTCATTCCCTAGAGGAGGATCTCTATTCATGAAGCTGTTAAAATTTCTGAACGTGGACGTCTGAGAACCAATCCCTCGGTGACGCCCCTCTACTGAGCAATGCTCGTCCTTTTCCCCAACATTCATTCTCTCCTCCACTGTATTAACAGAAACTTGCTTCTGTTCAGAGCAGCTAGAAGCTCTTACCTACCAAGACTTCTTGCTGCTAGTAAGTAGCCTTTTGATCCAATTCTGGTAAAAATATACAAATAAGAGGATTCTGAAAAAACTATTGTTTGACCGAATCTTTCTAAACTCTGCTGGTCTCTGCCTTTTCACTCTTTTCCTGCCCAAAATATGGATGTGATGCCCAGAGGTAGAGCAGCATCATTGTGATTATGAGGCCAACAGCCACACTCCGAGTGTGGAGATGGAAAGCTGAAGGAGCTGAGGACAATGGAGGTAGCTCACATCCCCAGAGCCCAGCTCCTTTGCCTCTACACACGAAAGGAGAAGAAAAGTCTCCCCAGCTCATCAGCTGACGGGGGAGGGACCACAGGTGTGCTCTTGAGAGAACTCGGCCCCAGCTGAGGGTTTGGAGACTCTGAACACATTCACCAGCCAACCCAGCTTAGCCCAGGACCTGCTCTTTCATCTGCCTACTATGCAGCTGATGGGATTCAGTAACCCGGGCACTCCTGAGGCCTCCGGCTAGTCTGACTCCCTGCCAGGGCCAGACTGGCTGAATTCCCAGCATGAGGAACTTCGGAAGAACTAACAGAGGCACCTGGCCACTCTGTCCTGTCCTCTGTCTTTCCCCTTAGAAAGCGCTTTGCAGACCTCACAAGTGCTTGGCTTCCCTTGGAGCAGTCTGATCTCCCCACAAGGCCAGGAAGGGCTCTGTAGGCCATTTAGTTGAGCCAGAAATATAGTCCTCCGGCCCCAGCCAAAGACTAGAGCAGTGGTGCTCTCAAAGTCTGGTCCAGAGACCAGCAGTATCGGCATCACCTGGGAGCTTGTTAGAACTACACAGTATTGAGCCCAATACCAGGCCCAGGAACTCTGGGGTGAGCCCGGAAAGCAGTTTTAACAAGCTTGCCAAGCGATTCTTGAGAACCAGTGCCCTGGAAGTCAGGCAGGGGGTTCCTCTGTCTCCATCGTCCTTTAGGTACTCAGCCATGCCGTGGCTGGTCCCCACTCCTGAGTTCCTGCCAGTGGAAACATTCGAGCAGAATCTGCAGGTTGGGGCTCTGGGCCTGACTCCGCTGCACTTGGCATAACTCAGCTCCGGTCAGTTCTCTTCTCTGGACCCCAGTTTCCTCACCTGGGAAGCGAGTGGGACTGTAAGAAGGTCAGGGCTTGGGGGAGAGATCCCAGGGGCCCAGGCTGGAGCGACCTTCCCGAGACTCTCACCTTGCTCATCTTCTTCACGGTTTCTATCCTGTTCCCTCATTTCTGAACTGGTGGCCCCGGGGGCTCAGAAGTCATGAATTACCTGCACCTGAATTCTCATCTGGAGGTCCGCTTCTGGGAACTTTTCCTAAACAGGTTCCAGACCCCCGTGTTTGCATGGGAACCCCCCAGGATTCCCTCCCGCCTGGTGGAGCCTGGAGGAAGCCCACAGCCACCTTGCTGGCTGAGGTCGTCCACGAGGATGACCTCCTTCAGGAAGGCCCTGGGCGCCGTGTCCAGGATGCTGTGCACCGTCCTCAGGAGGGTGGACCAGGCCTCGTCGTGGAAACAGAGGATGATGCTGGCCGTGGGCAGGCTGTCCTCAGGGTGCTGCTGCAGACACCTGCAGGGACGACAACCGGGGACCGTGGGAAGAAAGGCCATAGAAAGTGTCCAACGTCCTCGAACTCACTCCCCAGGCCCTGGCTGTGGCTGCTCCAACCACATGCTTCGCCTCCCAACCCTACAGCTCTCCCTGAGTTTTCTTAAAATCCCCACACAGAGAGCCCAGGTCGCCCCACAGCAGTGCCGTGTACCACCTCCCAGCCTCCCCGTCCTCGGAGCCCAGGAGCTCCTTTCCAGTGTTTAATCCACGCCTTTCTCAGAAGAGTGGAGCGGTGTTGCCACCATTCTCAGCAGATGACTGTCCTAATCTGTAAAGATGGGAATGAATTGTCGTAGGCAGTTAGACAGACATGAGCAGAGCAAGGACAATGGGCCAGGAACAGAAGGTCACCAGGATGGAAAGTCCCAGGTGCCTAGAGATGGACAGTCAATTGTAGGGTGGACCTCCCCCCAGAGTGACTTTTCTTCCCTAGAGATAACATCAAGGTTTCGGTTGTATTTCAGCTCCAGGTCCAGATAAGCAACAAAACCAGCCATGGCTGACATCAGGATCAGCTGCATTGAATAATGACCCCTGGCCTAGTGCTGGCCAATCAATCAGTGGAGACCACAACTCTGAAAGGACACACCTGGAAAACTGCTGAATAGTCTATTGAGATCTTTGCTGGGGATGTCCCCTAAAACCTCCACTCTTAAAACCCTTAGGACAGAGGACCCAGTGTGCCCTTCCCTTCCTTTCCCTTTCCTTCCCTTCCCTTCCCTTCCCTTCCCTTTCCTTCCCTCCCCTCCCCTTCCCTTCCCTGCCCTTCCCCCTTTCCTTACCCTCCCCCTCCTGGGCCCAGGCACATTACCTTTAGCTTCCTCAGTCCCAAGCTCGGAGGGCCCTTCCTTTACCTCTATAGCTTGTTTCCTAAGCCCATTTCTTGTAGGAATTACTTTGTCTACCCCTATAATTTACCCAGTAAATGTTTTCTTATAGTTTGGGTCTGGACTCTGAGTTCTTTCCTAGCCAGAACCCAAGTATTGAGGTCGCTGAACCAAGGTTTGGTCTGACCCCACCGGTCTAACACCTGGTGCCATTCTCGCCGCCTACAGCAGAAGGATATGTTACCAATCTCTTAGAGCTGTTGTGAGACCTACATAGGATGACGTACATGAGTGTCCTAGGAATAGTCATTGTCATCCATTTAATGGCAGGGACATATTTCTTTATTTTTGTATTCCTAAAACCTAGCATAGCACTGGGCACATAATAAATGTTTATTATTACTATTATTATTGAAGAAGGGACAAGGATTAGACATTTATGAATGTCGACAATGTGCCAGACACTGTGCTAGGCCCTTCACTTACTTAAGTGCATGTTCACCCTGTAATAAGTCTGTGGCTTGGGCTATTTTACCCCATTTTACAGATGGGAAAACTGAGGCTCGTTAGAAGGCAATACTCATTAAAGGCCACATTATCGATAAATGGCAAAGCTGGATATTTCCCTTCAGAGCTGTCATGCACTTTCTGCTTTGCTGGCTCATGGTTGGATAGAAGGGGTGCATGGTGTTACCTCTGCCAGGAGGCTGGTTCCCTCCTTCATCCAGGTGAATAGGAAGCTCTGTACTTGCTTGGCATTGTGTCTGTTGAGATTTTGAGTGAGTCCACAGTATAATAACCTGATACATGGAGCTGGGTGTGGCTTGCAATTGTTCACAAAGGGCACTTCCCTAAAATACCTTTCCAAGGGTCTTCTTTCTAGGTTTTAGCTGTTAAAACCACATCTCTCCTCAGAGGGGTATTTGCTTTTGAAAGGGGTTGTCTCAAGGACTCCAAGCTTCCAACATCTAAAGGCACCTGTGATGGTGGACCTGTAGGCAGAATGACAACCAGACTGGCCCTGCCTGAGGGTCTCCAGGCCTCAGATTCTCTCTGCCAGGTGGGGGGTGCATGGTCCCCCTGCTCTACCTGGGCTGCAGCTCTGCTGAGAGAACCAATGAGGCAGTGCCCACGTGACCATGGAGAGGAGCCATGGATAAATATATACTTTCATTGTTAAACAATGGGGCTAGCTACTTTCTTTGTCCTTCAACCAGATAGCTGGTGCATATTTTACTACCTCAGTTTGTACACACACACCCACGTGTCCAAAAGGCCCAGTCTGACCTCACTTGTCCATCTTCTGAGTGGCAGCAGGGGAGAGGAAAGATCTAGGGCTTTGGAATCGAATCAGCCTGGCTTTGAATCCTGGCTCTGCTGTCTACACCCCCTAATTAGCCAGCACAAGGATGCTGGTACCCTTCTGCAGCCCGGGGGTGCTGCCCGGATTAAAGTGGATCATCCTGGCCCAAGAGAGCTGCTCAGGAAATGTTAGCTTTGTATCCTCACTCTCCCAGATCCCGGGCTGTGTTTACGCACAGATGCTTGCCCTCTCTTCCCGCGGCTCCAGGATCCCCTGTGAGCTCAGAAAACGCGTTTGGATGGTGATTGGAAGAGAGTGAGTCACAGCGTTGCCCCAGATGGCCTGGCTGTGGCATCAACACCCCCCCCCCCCGCCTTCCCATTGCCAGGCCACAGTAGAAAGGTTTCTGCATGGTTTTCTGAAGCTATTTTGGGGTTACTGACCCCCAGCTCCTACCAGATCAGCAGAGCGCCTCATTCAGGGGACTTCTGTATCTAAGTTCTGAGCCCACCATGTAACGGCCTGGCTGCTTGTCTGTATCCCCCCGTGTCCCCCATGCTCCTTGGGGCTGGGCTGGGTCTTGCTCACCTTCTCACCTTTAATAACTGCTAAATACATATTTGTTCAGTGAATGAAAGAAGACACTGTTCTTGCTCTCAAGGAGTGTATAGGCTGGTTGCAGATACCAACAGGAGAGTAATACCTTACAGCCAATTTCCTACATTCTGAGGAAATGTTCAGCCCATCTTGGGCTGTAGTTGATGTGGCTCATCTTGGGAACACCAACTTCTGAGCCAGGCCCTGGGGGACAAGGGCTGGGACCCAGCCTAGAGATGATCCCTTAGAGCAAAGGTAGGGATTTCTTTTTCTGCCAAGGGCCATTTGGATATTGATAACATCATTCTCGGGCCATACAAAATTATCAACTTAAAAATTAGCCTGGTATTTGGTCAAACATTTAATTAACTCACCCCTAAAACCAAATGATTTATACGGCCCATGGGCCTGACATTCCTGCCCCTGCCTTAGAGGGATGGACAAAGGAGCTTCCGGATGAGCGAGAAGTGTGGGGAGGGCTGGAGCCTGCAGTTGAGGCTGATGCGGCCAGCCTGGCATTCCGCACAGTGGAGACAAGTCATGTAAGGGGCACGGAGTCCCCTCCTCTGAAGTCTCACAGCCCCTTTCTGAAGGGACTCCAGCCATCCTTGGCCTTGCTCTGATCCCGGCCCCTGGAAATATGTAAGCAGTTTCTACGACTTTCCAGATAATTCCAGTGTGCCCCCCGAGTTTGTGATTTATTTAGCAGCCCCAGGGGCAGAACATAATTGTCTGGTCAGAGAAAGGACAATGATGTGAAGCCCACAGCTGCCTGCTTCAACCTTTCTCCATCTTTCCAGCGCACTCCTGGGTACTATGCCCAAGAATACGATAAGGGCAACTTCTGTTTGGACTTGAATCCTGGCTGAAAACTCATCAACATTTTGTCTGATTTGAGCTATAACCTCATGCGAGGGTGTTACCTCCCTTTTACAGTTGAGGCTCAGAGAGGTTGAGTGATTATACAAAGTCACACAGGAAGAGGTGACGCCAGGATTCAACCCCAGGCCCACTGTTCCATGTGACTTTGATTTAGTCACAATGTGAGTATATAAACCAGGGTAACATGGGCCCAACCACAAACACAAGTTTACGAGCTGATGGAAGCAGGTAGGACATTTATGTTCAAGTACAAAACCCCCGGTAAGGAGGGGGACTATTCTTCCTCTCTGCTTCTCTTCTCTACTTTCCAATCCCAGCACTACTTCCTCCATGGAACTTACCAGAACTCTACTACCTCTCCACTCACTTTCACTCACTTCGTATACCAGTGGTTCCCCAAACTGTCTTGCATCACTTCTAAAAATTCAGATCTCTGGGCTTCAACTCGCAACTATGCAGTCTGCAGTGGCCGGGTCTGAAAACGTACGTTTTAAATAAGCAATCTGTGGGAATCTAACACGCATGCAGTTTCGGGCACCAGTGATGTAGCCCCTTACTAATCAAAAGTATGGTCTGTGCACCAGCAGTGCTGGTACCAACTGGAAGCGAGATAGAAATGTAGCACCTTGAGCCACACCCCTGGCCTGTCAAATTAGACCCTGCGTGCGAACAAGATGCCCGGGTGATTTGCATGCACCGTACAGTTTGAGAAGCACGTCTCTGTCCAACCTGCTCAGCATCAAGAGTGTCTTAGGTCAGCAGCAGCAGCCTCACCAGGAATTCACAGAAGTCAAATTCCTAGACCCCACCCTGGACCTACTGAGTCGGAAACTGTAGGAGTGGAGGCCATGCCTCTAGGTGTTCTGATGCAGCCACTGCTTGGAGGAGAGACCACAAAGCACTTTCTCCATTGGGAGCCTCTTTGATCCAGGACATCAATTGTCCTACTGCTAGATCAAAGGAGAGCTAAGCCTGGAAGAGTGCTGAGAGCTGTCAACACCTTTGATAGCAGCATTGAAGGGCGGAGCCTATCTTAGTCCTCAGCCTGCTCCATCCTGGGCCCTTCTTTTTATTTCATCTACATATTCATGCCTGCCCCTGCCCCCAGGACCCTCTCCTCCGCACGCACACGGCACAACCATCCCACTGTGTTTCATCGTGCCCTGTGATGAAATGCCCAGGTGACTCCCAACTCCTCAGTGATAAACATACTCTGCTGTGTCTCCCTGTGGGACCGGTCGGTGTGAGTGCTCCCCATCTTATAGATGGAAAAACTTGAGATGCTTCCGGCCCATGTGACTTGCCCAGAAAGTACAACATGGAGATGAAGGGCATGACTTTGGTGTCAGACACACCTGGTCACATAACCTGGCCCCAGTCCCTCCACCTTTCTGTGTCTCAGATTTCACATCCATAAAACAGAGATGTTATTACCTACCTTATAGGTAAGATAGACAAGCCATGAACATTAAACAAACGAAGACCATTTGGTAGAATCCCTAGCACATAGTATGTGCTCAATAAATGTTCACTATAGTTTCACCTCTCCTTCCAGAGACTGCCTTTTGATCTTTTACACTGATTTTTTCTGTGTTGGTTCTGCATTATTGGTAACTCTCCTTGTACCCCATCTTCATTGACCTCCGGCAATGACCCTACAGGTACTTAGAAAAGGCCTGTGGCCTGGATGGGTGAAATGAGCAAAGGCCAGGGCCTGTTTGGGCTTGTGGTGCGGGAACTGGGGTCAGCGGAGCTTGTCTGGGTTAGGAGTCAGGATGGGCTTGCAAGAAGCTCTGGGGTTGATGGTGGTGCGTGGCTCACTACAGCAGGGGCGGAGCTGTGGGATGTCTAGTGTTCTGGTTCTGGAGAGAAAGCAGCAGTGCAGGGCCTGCAGATAGTAGGTGCTTAATATACATCTGTTCTTTTATGGATCTATTTTGGAACATTTAAAGAGGTGGAAGGAGGGGAGTCCTGTCACCCTGGAGAGTGTGTGTGTGTGGGGGGGGTGGGGATTGTTATCTTACTTTACAGAGAATCCCTTATGTATTCTAGAGGGCTGCTGGGAAGGGGAGGCTCCAGTGCCTGAGTGCAGCCAAGTCTTGGGCAGCACAGGCTACATGGACCAGCTGCAGCCAGCAGAGGGCGCCTCACACCTCCAGACAGAGCTGGTTGGTGGTGGGAGGGGCGGGGGAGGGGCGGTGGTCCTGCGAGAACCCTGGAAAGCTGGGGGTGAGGTGACCAACTGTCCGGGTTTGCCTGGGACCTGTAGGGGCTTTCAGTGTTAAAATCAGTAAAGTCCCAGGCAAACTGAAATGAACTGGTTACCCTGGCTTGAAGAAGCAACTTCTAAAATGGTGCACACACACACACACACATGCACACATACATACATACACATCACACACAACACACAATGTACCCATGTTT